CCCCCCCCCCCCCCCCCCCCCCCCCCGCCCCCCCCCCCCCCACGCCAAGGCCCCCCCCCCCCCCCCCCCCCCCCGGTTCCCATGGCGACAGGTGGTGGAGCATGCAGATGAGATCGAAAGCCCTCCGGCGGGGTCCGTGATGGAGGCGTTCTGGTACATGGTACGGGAGGGGGGCCTGTGGGAGAGCCTGGAGGGTGCATCGGAGTGGGTGGCTGACTTCTTGCTGCAGTGAGTGCCGTAGAAGAACACGCACACAGGCGTGCCGGTACGCTGGCGTGGCAATTGCGCCACCTCCATGCTGCTGTGTTTGAGGTGCTTGCTCTAGTTTCATGCGGTTGACTACTGTTTGGCGTGGGTTCGATGCTTACCTTCTGTCAGCCGATGCGCGGCTGGCTGGCTTGCTGGCTGGTGGTTTGAAAGTGCCTCCTCTACGTAGCTGTAAGAGAGGGGCAGACCAATCAACTTCACTGCAGGCGGGTTGAAGCATCCACGGGGGCGCTCTAGCGATGCTCTGCGGTTTCGGAGCCTGCATATCGGCGCCTTTTTTCAAACCCCACTGGTTGCAGCTGTTTGCTCTCCCCGCGTGCCAGATTTTTCGATCTCAAGAATAGCGCTTGTCGCTCGCTGCAACAAGGGCTGTAATCGGCTGTCGCGCGTGCGCATGTTTTTTGTTGCAGGAACGAAATGCTTCCTCCGAACCCGCACCAGGGCGATGATGGTGTGGTGGCCGGTGAGGACAGCAAGGACGACAGCGACGGCAACACCAACGGCGGTGGAGTTCGGGAGGAGAAACGAGTCCGCCAGGCTTCTGCTGATGAAGCTGGTGATGGTGAGGAGGAGGAAGGCTCGACGAAGATGGTGCTGTCAGAGGGCGACGTCGACAACGACGAGAGCAACGCGGGAATGTTTGCCAACATGTTCGAGACCGCGGTGGGCATGGCCGCGGAGTTGGCAGAGCAGCAGCTGGGGATGGAGGAAGGGGAAGGAGGGGAAGAGGCGAGTGCGCAGGGCAGAGGCATCGTTGGCCGGGGAGCGAGGGGGAGGTAAACGACGGTGACGAAGCGGGCGTTGTTTTTCATGACAATAAGGAGGCCGGATTTTCGGCGGGATTTCGGAACTCTCAAAAGAGTCGTAGAGAGCAGGCAACAAAAGCACCTGAGCGGTGCCAACGAGGGAAGGATTTTGTTGGAAAAGCCTTCTAAACCTGGATGCGGGTGTCGTCATTGTTGAGTCGAACGATCTGAGATTATTCTCCCGCGGTGGAGGATCGCGTTACAGCCGCCAGTGCTCGCTGAAACGTTGTTGAAATCACCGCCGGCATGGCGCATTTGGGTTATGGACGACGGCGGTGGTGGTGGTGGTGGCGAGCGCGTGTGCAGAGGACAAGGTTAGGGATACTGGAGGGGAGTGGGCGAAGTGGCTGCCACGTCTGACGCTGCGTTTCAAAAGTAATATTCCGTAATTGCTGGGCTACGGGCCTCATGGGGGATGTGTTCCAGTCCTTACGGCGGCGGAGGTTCGGTGACGCTACCCTAAACAAAAAGAACACGCCAGAGGAAGACTTTTTATAGGATCTCTGCTATGACCCTCCCGTACCTCTGTAAGGACGACAGTTCTTCACGGGAACACGAAGGGAGTTTCTTACCCTCGTCGCGGACCCAAAGCCCGTTCTTTTGTTCGTCGCTTGCAAGGGTTTCAGGCAAGCAGCGACCCATGATCACCCGTTTGGTCGGCTTGCGAAATTTGCACGAGTCTTGCTCTTTCGCCCACGGTTGGAGACGGGTGACAGCGACACCAAACGAATGTTCACGTGTTCTGCATTCCCATGTTGTATAAGTTAAGGTAGACGGAAACCTACCATCACCCTCTTTTGTTTCCGCCTCTCCCTCTTATCAACCCCAACCAGACACTACCCTACACCCCGCAACGCCACCTTCAAAATTGTCTTTCCACGACCAAACCCTGATCACCTGCTAGAAACATCATCTGCCTGTCCGGTTTGCTCGGGTCACAAGCACAAACACACCAGCTCAAGCAAGGTACTGCAGAAGCAACGACGGTAGCAAGCTTTCCTCGCTCGGCCCTACTCATGCGCCGACGGTCCTAACTCTTGGGGCGGCGGCAATGGGAGAAAAAACAAATTCGTCTCTACCGTATGAAAATTGTTCGGTTAAGCGGGGAAAGTCACGCCGCCTTCTTGACGAAGACACATCGGTAGACCCTGTTCTCTTCCGCCGACTCCTTCTCGTAGGTGACCTTCTCCCGCTCCGTCTGAACCTGGTGGTTTTTGCGGTTGCATTCGTTCGGAGAGCAACCAGCGGGGGGGGGGGGGGGCCGTCTTCGTCAACCGTGTCCAACATGCGGAGTTCGTAAAAGTAGCGCGTGAACGTCTCCCGGAGTCCAAACTACAGGAATCCATCATTTCACCAGGTCAATCGTTTTCAGCGTAATGACCACGGGGAAGGGTGTGCAGGGGTTCAGCAGCACGCTACCAGGGCTTCGAGCTTTATTTGCTTCGCCCTAAAAACGACAGGTGTCCAAACAAACCCTCATACTTGTACCAATGCCACTGGCGAAGAGGAGGGGGGTTGAGGCGGCGGCGTACAGAAGCAGTCGGAGCGGCAAAAGCGTCAACAAAAGCACAGGAACAAGCATGAGACAACGCCATCGATGTCATCGATGCCACAAGGACAGGGAGTTTGAAACAGCAACGAACATCATGAGATATCACCATCGAAGTCAGCAGGACACGGGGTTTCCACTATCAACACTCGACAGTATTTCGTCTCGCTCTCCCCTCGGCGGAGAAATAATTGCTCCTGGATGTCGCTTGGATTTTACGGACTGCACTACAACGAGGGTGAGAACCGTCCGACGGTGTTGAAGATGCGACCATGCATAACGGTCGGGAAAACATAGGAAACCACCCAACCTCTTTCTGAGATGCATGACTACATGCGATAACGCGATGCGTCTTGTCATTAGACCGCCCGAGGTCGACCAGCGACATCGTTCCCGGTATCCCTTAAAAACAATTACATACGCTCACCCCGAACGGGTTCTTGTCCGGGCCTTCCATCCAGTCTTCCATGTCTGGTCGCGTGTCCTCGAGCACCCCTGACAGGACGAAAGCAGAACACATTTCCAAAAGAAAACGAAAAGTACGAACGCTCTGTATTCCGTCACCGCGCAACAAAGGGACAGAAATTCACATGCGCAGAGTACCGGACTCATGTGGAACAGGGGCCACGGCGATCAGCGAGGAACGACAACTTAACAATTTTTCGGGAAATCAAGGGTCCCCGTTTGAGAAGAACGCCGTGCTCATACTGTATCTGAAGTAGCATGGATTCTTGGGGGGATGCTCGAAGGGGCTGGAGGGTTAGTGCCCGAACCGGAGGCCATGCGTAGTGCATACCCTTGCACGAGTGTCGTTCTCACGAGAACATGGACAGCAACAGCAAACGAAGGCCAGAAAAAGTGAAAGATGAACATTAAAAACAATAGCAACAGAGAGAAGAAAAGTGAGGACGATACTTACGTGCCGTCTCCCTGGCGATAACCCGCATATCCTCCACCACTTCGAGAACGTCGGACTGCATGAACAAAGTCCCCCCGGGTTCAAGGTGCTTCTCAATGCACGTCACAAGCTCCGGCTGTCAAAAACAGAGATGCAGGACACAGAAGGGGCCAAAAACGAAGAAAAGAGGGGGGACATTGTTGTCAACCGCCCTTCCCAAGGCGCAAGACAGCTGCCACTGGCACGGGGAGAGCAGTGGCAGTAAAGAAGAAGCACCCGAGATCAAACGCGTGTGTTGCGAGTCAGGGACAGAACGAGAGAGCGCGAGAGAGTGAGAGAGAGGTAGTCCACCGGCTACACAATCATACAACACAAACAACAGCAGCAGCAGCAGCAACAGCAACAACAACGGCATCAACACCAAGAGCGACTTGAAGAACCAGCCTATCGGATGTAAAAACAAAGGACCAACGCCACCGCCATCACAACTACCCCACAAAAGCAGCATTGGAAAGGGACACGTCATGTTCACCTGCAAAACTCGCCGCTTGTAGTGCCTGGTCTTGAAGTGCGGGTCCTGCCGACAGGCAGGGTGAAATCAAGACGCAGACAGGGTGGTCAAAACGCACCCAAACGAAGGGGGGCATGCCTCAGATGGGAAACCGACCCAGGTGGGGGTGGGAGGGGTACGAGGCAAAAAAACAAAACAGGACAGAGGGCTGATGCGTCTCAACATCTGAACTTTTTTTTTAAAGGAACGAAGCGGTGTATTGGCACTGCTTGCATAATAGTCACGTTCAGATGAATTTTCAGCCATTGTGCTACAACAACGGCAGAGCTTCTGCACTAGAGCTCGAATGAGCAGTCCAGTCGGAACTGCTGCTGATCGCCCGATAAGACAAGCAGAGCTACGATAGAGGGATAGAAGATGGAATGAGAGCTTTCCACGAACAGGTGCCATAAGAATGCAACCGCACATTAACAGTGGCTCACCGGAAACTGAATGCAGACGGTGTCGATCGAAGCCCCGTGTTGTGCCGCTTCCGTCAGCACGGCGTCCAGATCTACCTGTGAAAATCAGTCCCGTCCCAGAGAAAAGACAGACGAAAGAACAGCAATAACTTGCAAGCCGAAGAGAGACAACCGGTCAACCAATGGACATCAAGGGGAAAAAAGTCTTACGAAAAAAATGAAGTGTTTTACCAAGTGGGACGCTGCCCGAGATGCAATTTCCTTCTTAAAACAACCGCAAAACATAGTCACGTACCCCCGGCTGCCAAGGAACGTCAGACGGGAAGTTGCGATATCGAACACACCCCACAACAGGGGTGTGGCGGAAAATATTTTCAGCAGCGAGCTCCCAACGATGAAACCAGAAACCATCACCCCACGGTTTACAACCCACCGAAGAACACCTCAAGCAAAGAGTGCTACATCCACCTCAAGAGCGATTGTTGAGGTGCAGCTCGATCGTATGTCTGCGGCTTGCCGAACACCCACAGGTGCTGCACGCTTTGTTGATTCAATCAATATCTGCTTGGTCGGCGGAAGCCCGGGGTGCAAACCCCGCAGAAGTTTTGTAGGGGGGGGTGCGCGGTTCGCCACGGAAAAACGCTGACAGCATGATACCCCCCCGCACCTCCTTCGTGCGCTCCTCAGTACTTGCAAAAAAAATCCTCACGCAATCCAGAGGCAAGCAACCATCGTGCGCGTGGAATTGGCGCACCCTCTCTGCCTCCACAGCCCATCATCCCAACACAACGCGAACAGGAACCGCGTCACACACACACACACACACACATATCTTTCTTCCGGAGAGTAGCGTAGACTCCCCCATGACGCTCAGTCCCAGGGTCCAGATCGTCGCCTACACTTGTGGAAGCATTTTGTGATTTTCACCGCACTGAGACTGACGTTTTTTCATTGGTCAGCCGGTTAGCGCGGTCGATGCAAATAAAAAAGACACACACACGTTACGCGTTGTGTGACGACCCAACCACAGGAGACGACTAAATGGCTCTTACGTTTGCGTTGCAGCAAACAACGTGGCAGTTGCGCGTCCCCAGCCCCGCCGCTCTCTCCAAGGCCAACGCCGCCGTAGGGCGTCGGATTTCCAGTCCCAAGTAGTTCCGCTCCGGGTGCTCCGTGGCCATTGCCCTCACAAAGGAGCCCTTTGCGCATCCTGTAAATGGGGAATAAGTTCGAAACGAATTGTTAGGAGAGGTTCCTAGCCAAAGGGTGGGGAAAGCAAGTCCCTAAGCTGCACCAAGATTTTCTAGGCCTGCTGCTTGACGAGTTTGCACGGCTTCAATTTAGCCGATAGCTTGTACTGAGGATGAGCCGAGGTTAAGTCGAGGACAAGCCGAGGTTGCTGAGGGTAAGCTGAGGTTGCTGAGGGTAAGCCGAGGATAAGCAGAGTTTGCCGAGGATAAGCCGAGGTTGCTGAGGACAAGCCTAGAATGAGCCGAGGTTAAGCCAAGGTTGCTGAGGATAAGCTGAGGTTAAGCCGAGGATAAGAGTTTGCCGAGGATAGGCGGAGGTTGCTGAGGATACGCCAAGGATACGCCAAAGTTGCTGAGGATGAGCCGAGGATAACCGAGGACAAGCAGAGGTTGCCGAGGTTGCTGAGGACAAGCCGAGGTTGCTGAGGATCAGTCGAGGTTTCTGAGGACAAGTCGAGAATAA